GTTTTTCTATATATGTATATATATATATATATATATATATATATATATATATATATATATACACACACACACATACAGTAAAATCGGTAATATTGTAAAATATTATTAAAAAAATGTAAGTAACCATTGTCTGTTTGAATATATTTTAGAATGTAATTTATTTCTGTGATCAGAGCTGAATTTTCAGCATCATTATTTCAGTCTTCAGTGTCACATGATCTTCAGAAATAATTCTAATATGCTGATTTGCTGCTCAAGAAACATTTCTGATTATTACCAATGTTGAAGACAGTTGTTGCTTCATATTTTTTTGTAAAAACCATTATATATATATATATATTTTTTTTTAAATTTTTTTTTCTTTGAATAGAAAGTTAAAAAAACAGCATTTTTTGGAAAAATAAATCTACAAATCTCACTTTTAATCAATTTAATGCATCTTTTCTGAATATATATTTTTTTATATTACTGACTCCAAATGTTTGAATGCTATTGTATTTTGTATTTTGGAACCACAAATTGTTTGTGTGCAAGTGAGTTAGTTTTTCAGAGCTTGTATGGTTGTGTCCTTCCACAGATTTTTATCAGCTTGCACGACCTGCAAACAAAATAAGCCTTAATTGATGCAGTTTTGATCTTGCTTGCAGAATCTGGAATTAGATTCAGCGTATAAAGGCACCTCTTAAAAAGAATCACTTGGCACATTTTGGCAGAGCTGCTGAGTCTTTAACCTTCTTTAGATGTGATCGATTGTGACATTGAACGTAATCAGTCAGGAAGTGTTCCCTAAACAGTCACGTCAACTTTACTGCATTTCTGCCAACATGTTACTTTTTAGTTACCAGATTCTTTAACATTCCCCTTGGTCTTTAAAGAAATAGTTCACTCAAAAATGAAAATTAGCTTAAAATGTCCTCACCCTCAGGCCATCCAAGATGTAGATGAGTTTGTTTCTTCATCAGATTTGGAGAAATGTAGCATTGCATCACTTGCTCAGCAATGGATCCTCTGCAGTGAATGGGTGCCATCAGAATGAGAGTCCAAACAGCTGATTAAAAACATCACAATAATCCACACCACTCCAGCACATCAATTAATGTCTTGAGAAGCCAAAAGCTATGTGTTTGTAAAAAAACAAATCCATCTTTAGGATATTTTTAACGTCAAACCCTTGCGTCCATTATCTGTAATATTGCTTTCTCCATTGATTTTAGTAGAGGAAGAAAAATACATTTTTGTGACACAGATATTGTTTTCATTAGTAGTTTCTTTGCTAAGGCATGCATCACTATTGCTTTTGCTCATGCACATTGTTTTAAAGTTCACAGTGAATTTTAGAGTCTTCAGAATAGGGCTGCACGATTAATCAAATGTGATTGTCATGCGCATTTTGTTAGTAAATCCGGTTCTGTAATCAGCAGGAAATCATCATCACGTGATTTCAGATGGAGCAGAATTTACTACACATAGCTGTAGTTCACTGACAAGTTACGCAAAAAAAATCGCAGCCGATTTTATTGCGCGATTATGAAATGGAAGAAATCGTTCGTGTCAGCTGTTTGCATAGCTTCTCAGTGAACTATGGCTCTCCGATAAACCGTATATTGCTGTTGTCGTGTGTTTATTAGTCACGTTGAATCAATGAAAGCAGTTGAATCTTCTGTTTATTCAGCCGCAGCGATAGGCATTTTCTGGGTTTCTTCTGCGAGGCGTATTTGGAGTTTCTCTGGCCTTCGGGTGGAGATTTACTGCTGATCACAGAACCGTGCTTCACTGAAAGATACGCATGACAATCGCAGCTTCTGTCGAATCGCGATCTCGATTCCATTTATCGTGCAGTCCTACTTCAGAATATGTAAAAAAACACTAGTTTTATTGAGTGAATGTGGTCTGCTGGTGCTATGAATAATTCAGAAGTACAGAGAATAACCGTCTACTGCCACAGTGAAACCGCAGACTGAACTGTGTTGTTCAGTCCTCAGAAGTGATGTTTTTTGTGCCCTGTGCTTGGAGAGAAACGGATAGTGGCTAAAAGTTGAACCTTTGGACATTGGCGTAGTGTTTATGCACTGAACAGTTTTGCAATGGCTCTTATGATGTTTAAGCTCTAGATTATGGGAACTTGGTTCAATGAAAGCTTCAATTCTTTCTGCATCTAATTCTCAGTTGGCTTGATTACCTCACTCACAGGCTATATAACAGTGATTTAGCTCAATTTATTTGTTTTCATTTTCATATAATGATGATTATGTGCATATTTCAGGTCTAGAGATTTGATATCTGATTGCAAATGCACAGTCATACGAATCAGAAAGACATCTGTTAACCTGACAGTCCTTGTTTAATGAGACAATAGCTCTAATAAACAAAAGTATAATTATTTTGTAAAATATACAGTTTGTGGGCAATTTCAGTGTTTTAGTAACATTTGTATAGTATTGATTAATATTTTGAATTAATTTTAGTTTCTATTTTCAATTAAAGTTTTACTAATGTCTTTTTTTTCTGAATTGTAAGTCATAAACTCAGATTTGCGAGATATAAACTCAGAATTGTGGGATATAACTTTGCAATACTGGGATTAAAATACAGATTTTGCAATAAGTGAAATACAGATTTCTGAGCCAAGTGGATTTTGAATGCAGCTTCCAAAAGACAAAAAATAGTAGAATAATATATTTTTTTTGTATTTGATACAATCACACCAGCGTGATTAAATCATCCTCGCAGCACATCATCAGCTGCTAAATTCAAATCTGCGCTCGCTGGCTGGCCCTGAGCCAGAGACAGACGCATTTGTACAGCACTGCATTATAACCAATCATGCACGATTCTGTTGAGCTTATGAATGCAATGGCCAATCAGAGGCATTCAGATGAGTCATCGCTGAATGCGATGGTTTGTTCACTTGCTCGCTCACTGAATTCTCTGGCGAATTCTCTCATCAGAAACAACAAAGTGCAGATGTGCGTAGTAATATAAGATATTAATTTCACAGTGTAAACAGTTTCAGTGATTTAAATGGGAGTTTTTGAGAGTGCCTGGACTCTGGCTAGACTGAATGAAAATTTTCTTTTTTTTGCTCTCTGTAAAATGAAAGTGTTATAATTAGTAACTTACAATATTGTTATTAAATTCACATTAAATACAAAGTCAGTCGTATTCAAAATATTTTACGGCATGCTGCATGACACCCATATATGGTACTTAAGACGGGTTTTTTTAATAGATTACACTATTACTCTATCAAATAACATAATCTATAAAGGTGCAAAATGCATTTACTTACACTTTGCACAGATCTGACCACTAATTTCTGCTTTTAATATGTGGGCGACTTCATTTTAGTCCTTCAGTGTTTCTTGCAGTAAACATAATCAGCTACGAATTAATTCATTAGGTTAATGTGTATATGCGTGTCTGTTTGTGTGGGAGTGAGCGATCGACTGAACGACTGATTAAATGAGTTGGAAGTTTATAGTCATTTAATTTGAAACCGTTAATGGCGTGTCTGTCAGAGAAACTGAAGGATGCAGCCACACAAGTGAATCACATTACAGGAGACAGTTGATGGTTAATTAGATCATTTTTGGTCACTAATGTCTCTAATTGTATACTGCCTACTATTTAGAGAAATAGCATGTGAAGTAGCATGCAATAAGCAATGATAAACATTTGAAACTGTAGTATGCTTCATGTTTGTCACTTGTCCTCACAACATGTGCACAACACAGCATGTTTAATTCAGCATTTAATTTAGAATTTTATCCATTTTGTGGGAAAACAGCAATCAAATTATTGTCATAAGGTCTAATATCACATCTGGTTTGTGAAAATGAAAGGTCAGGTTTAGCGAATGCAGTAGCTCATTTGAATATTTAATATTTTTATAAAATATGCATGCATATATTTAATTGTGCATGCGGTAATATTTTCAGTATGCATACTGTATTCCGCTTCTATTAAAAGTAGTGGTGTGATATTACACATAAGCTATGTGTTTTGGTGCTACGCATCTGTGTGAATGACCAGATCAAAACAAATAACAATTCATGTGTGATTTGTGTCAGTTTAGCATTGTGTTCTTCATTTAGCATCTTGTGTATGTACACACATCTGTTTTGAAACATTAGCGTGATTAAAATCGTATGACACAAACAGATTATGTTATAATCTGATCTGTTTAAGAAAGACTTTAAATAGCTTTGAATATACTATGGTATTTTAGGTATGTAGTGCAGCTGTTGGGATATAAGAAGCCACTGACATGTGGTGTGTGTGTGTGTTTATTATAAGAAATATACACTACTGTTCAAATGTTTGGTAAGATTTTTTTAATATTTTGGAAAGAAGTCTTCTGCTCACTAAGGCTGCATTACTTTGATTAAAATACAGTGAAAACAGGAAAATTGTGAAAAATGATTACAGTTTGAAATAACTGTTTTCCGTTTGATAGTCTTCTGCTCACTAAGGCTGCATTACTTTGATTAAAATACAGTGAAAACAGGAAAATTGTGAAAAATGATTACAGTTTGAAATAACTGTTTTCCGTTTAATTATATTGTAAAATGTAATTTATTCCTGCGATTCAAAGCTGAATTTTCAGCATCATTACTCCAGTCTTCAGTGTCACATGATCCTTCAGAAATCATTCTAATATGCTGATTTGCTGCTCGAGAAACATTTCTGATTATCATCAATGTTGAAAACAGCTACTTCATATTTTTGTGGAAACAATGATTCATTTTATTTTTCAAGATTCTTTGATGAGTAGAAAGTTCAAAAGAGCAGCATTTATTTGAAATCGAAATCTTTTGTAACATTATAAATGTCTTTACTGTCTCTTTTGATCAATTTCATGTATCCTTGATGAATAAAAGTATTAATTTCTGTAGTTTGTATTAGATTCAGATATACGTTTTTCCTTTGTCCTTTGCAGATCTCTTTGACACAAAATACATTTGATAAAATATTCACGAATCGATTACTTTTAAATATTTGTTAAATATTGTTATCAATTCTTTTGGTCAGTATCGCCCACCCCTGCTTCCAACCACATACATTTTGGTTGTCAATGAAATGTAGTGACTAGAGATGATTGTTTTGAGGTAGTGTGTTGCTTATGTTTTATTTTGAGCTAATAGAGTCGCTGGGGTCTGTTTTTGGCATAACTGGGTCACCCCCCTCCATTCCCTCCCAAAAACTGGTGCGAGGTTACACAGAGAAGATCTGAATTATTGATATTAGCTTGAGATCAACCCAAACAGCAGTGTGACGGCGGCAGACGCACGTTCACAACATGACAAAGACCCGATAGAGCATTCATGTGTCTCAAGCTTTTTCATGCCGGAGAAAATAAAGCCACTGTGTGTCTGGAAGACCTGCTTCTGAACTTCATGTCTCTTTTGTGAGTTTGTGTACACACAAAACTACATTATGTAGTTTTTGGTTTCATGAATTGGTTTCATGGAATCATCACTGGCTCATGAGATCTTACTCTGTTTTTCCTCAGTCTTTCTCATCTTTTTCTCCCCAGTGTAACATTGGGTCTTTGAAGTAAAGTTTTAAGGATCAAGAAAAAATTGTGTATGAACACACACACACACGCACACACACACTGAGCTAAACATTAATAGAAACCTTATAGACATAAAAAAACTAAAACCTATAAAAATGTCAAAAACATACAAAAAATTAAAATGAAAACAGAAAATCTAAAAATAAAAACCAATCCAAAATATTAATAAAAACTATAGTAGTATCTCAATTATACTAAAGGAACACTGGTGTAATCTCGTTTTTATAATTTTATTTCATTTTATTTTTCATTTTATTTATTTTAAATTGTTATATACATTTACATTTTTATTTAATTTTACTCCTATTTAATATTTTGCTTCAAATGCAATACAGTATTTTCATTTTTCCTTTCTCTCCTCTCTTCTCTTCTCACCACATCACATTCATTTGTCTCTCCAAGAGTTAAATTTGTTCATTATTTTGTTGTATGTATGTCCATACCACCAAAAAGTTGTCAAAGTTATTTGTAAAATGCTTTTCACAATACACATTTTTTTTCAAAGCAGCTTTACAGAAGATAATGGTGTCAATGTTTATAAAATCCCAATACCTTCATGCCTTATAGTCACATTTATCAGATTAGAGCTGGGGGATAATATACATTATGTGACGGCACAGGCAATCAAGCAGTTGAGATTTGCTGTGTAGTATACTGCCTTATGTGAGTGCACTGTAATTATGTGGAAAAAGTTGGATGTATTATATGTCCATATATCTTTATCTCTCTGTATGGTACACGAGTCAGCTTATTTCGACTATCTGGCAAACATTCACTGCTGAGCTCATTTTCCTCCCTGCTTAAGCCAAGACACTGATGATAAATTTCATTTATATATTGGAAAGAAAAGCAAAACCTCTGCTGCCTGTGCTTTTGCTCTTGGTTTTGCATTGAAGATCTAAATTAGGACGAGCCCATCCTTCATGCTGTTCTGCGCCTGAACGTCCAATTAGGAAAAATGTGTCAAAAACTTAAAAGAAATTGCGATCAGTTGGGACGTCTAATGAATTCCCTCAATATTTTTTCATTGCGTGAGATGTACCTCCCGAGCAGTAAAATCCATCTGAATAGAAACCCGTAATAATTAATGAGGCAGCCATGAGCGCCGCAACCACCCCATGAAATTGTGTCTCTTTGTGGGAAGACCTGACGTCTAATGAGATGTTAATGGAGCGCGTGTTTTACCTCATAGACACACGCACAGGGGGTTTTCATCGGCCTGAGTTGGGTTCTCCTCCCCGCGAGGGTTACACTCTATCTCTGTGTGTGTTTGCTCAGTGGAGAGGCAATTAGCGCAGCGTTTTTCCATATGAGAGCGAGCCAGTTGAACTCCACAGAGGTGGATAGCATTGCAGGATAATTAGATTTAAAACCGCTGGGGTTTTCACTGCGCTTTATCTGCTTCTGTATGTATTTGTCTGTCTGTCATCAAATTACACGACTTCCGTAATTATAATTATAGTTTTTATTAATATTTTGAATCAGTTCTTATTTTTAGATTTTCGTTCTTATTTTTAGATTTTCTGTTTTCATTTTAGTTCAATATAATTTAATTAAATATAAATTTTACTGTTTTGTTTTGTGTTTGTGTCACTTTTAGTTGTTTTTGTTTTTTTATACATGGCTATATAGCTTTTATTTCCGTTTTAGTTAAACTAAATTAAAATAAATGTTGTCTTGGCAACCAGTTG